ATGTTCCTTGTATGTTGTGCCTGAAGATCAGGAGGCACTTTCTCACTGTGAGACTGACTGAGCATACAGATATGTTGCCCGCAGGGATGGTCAACTCTCCATGCCTGAATACAGCCAAAAACCATCTGGACATGGACTTAGGCAGCCAGCTCCAGGTAAAGTGGCTTTAGTAGGTGGGTTAGACCAGATGACCTCCTTAAATTCCCTCCCACACCAATCAGCCTGTGAACCAAAACTGGAGGGGTCTATTTACTCCTGCCACAAGTCCCCCGAACCTACCTGAGGCTGATGTCACGGTGGTTGTCCAGCTGGAAGTACCTGGTGCTGTAGGGAGAGAGCAGCAAGTGAGAGCACAGGGTTTTACCCAAGACCAGGAGCCAAGGGCAGGTCACCCCTCCCCAAAGCAAATCCATAACCCCAGGGGTCTGACCACTCCTGCCCCCAGTCCTCTGAACCTACCTGAGGTCGATGTCCCTGTGGTCACCCAGCTGGAATTACCTGGTGCTGTAGGGAGAGAGCAGCAGGTGAACACTCAGCATTTTTCCTAAAAGGAACAGTTTGTCTGGTTGTCACCCCACCCCTAAAGGGACACTGAAACACAGAACCCACAGTCACCACCGGTATCATGGTCGGTCCCTGTGTGGCTGCACCCCCAAGCCTTCCCCCTCCATCCCACCAGCCCAGAGTGCAGCTTGTGTTCTGCATGTGCAAGAGCTCCCATAAGCAGGGCCTCCATCATCTTTCTTGATTGTTAATTGTTGGGGTGATGGGACAGAGCAGACCCTCAACAAGTTGGCTCATGACACCAAAGTGGGAGGAGTGGCTGGTCAAGCAGAGGGTCCTGCTGCCATCCAGAGGGACCTCAATGGGCTGGAGAAACGACCCAACAGGAACATCATGCAGGACACCAAGGACAGGTGCCAAGTGCTGCTCCTGGGGAAGAACAACCCCACACACCAGCAGGCCCCGAGGGTGACCCATGTGGGAAACAACTCTCCAGAATAGGCCCTGGTGAGAACCAAGTTCAGATGGAGCCAGCAATGGGTTAGCAGGGGCTGTTGGGCTGGATGACTTCCAGAGGTCCCTTCCAACCTCAGCCATGCTGTGATTCTGTGACTCTGAGCAAGGCCAAGAGATAGCCAGACCCCCAAACCCCTCCACACTTAATGATGCTCAGTGACACAGGGGGGTCCAGCTGGAACTACTTTGTGCTGTAGGGACAGAGCAGCAAGTGAGAGCACAGTGTTTTACCCAAGATCAGGAGCCCAGGGTGGGTCACCCCTCCCCAAAGCAAATCCAGAAATACAGGAACACAAACCCCACAGTCAACACTATCACCTAGTGGGACCCAGCAAGAGCAACCGCAGCCAGCCTGGGACTCTGTGACCCTCAGCAGGGACAGGAGGTGACCAGACCCCTCCAGCCCTGCAGCCCCAGCTGAGCTCAGTGACACGGGGGCAGTCGAGCTGGAGCTGCTGGTGCTGCAGACAGAGAGCAGCAGCCACACTTGCTCCTCCACACAGCTGCCACAAGGAGTTCACTGCACTGCATCTGAGCGCATCAGCCCTCTTGGTTTTGGGAAAACAAGTGGTTAAGCATGAGCAGGAACATTGGTCTCTGCAGCAATGAGAATGCCAGGACCAAGTAACCCCTCTGCCCTCAGTACAGGCCTGAAAAACAGAGAATGGCTCAGTGGCAGCACCGGAGGACGTGGAGAAAGCCCCATCCCTGCTGAGCAGGCAAAGAAACAGTGTCTGGCAGCAGCCTCATGATTGTGCTGTCTAAAAAGATGCCCCCGAGGAACGATGTCTGTCAATTTGCCCATGGGGCCTGGATGTCCACAGGTGTTGGCAGCCATCAGAAGCCCTTTAAGAGAGAGTTTCATCTTCAGCCCTGCCAAAGGGTAAAGGAGAGCTCTGGTCTTACCTGCAGTGCTGTTGAAGGCAAGAAATGAGGAGTAGTAGGCCAGGAATCCTCTCCTGGTGATGCTGATGTCACTGCGAAACAGGACGGTGAGCTGGTGCCCGGAGGATGTGAAGACTCGAGAGGTGTTGGTGCAAACAGAGCCCAGGAGCCGCCCCCCGGGGGACCCGCCGTCGAACACCTCGATGGCATCGTAGGAGCAGCTGCTGCCTTCCAGCCTGGGGGCACAGGGGGCTCTGTGGGCACCGCAGGCTGTGCCGCCTCCCGGCACCAGCCCCGAGCCCCGGCCGGAGCTGCAGGGCCCAGCCACCCCACCCCATCCCCGCCTCACCCCAGGGCTCGGGCACAGGCAGCCAAGGCCCCACAGTGGGCACGAAGCCGCCCCTGAGCCCACAGCCAGCCCCCCCTGGCCAGGACTCACTCCACATCCGAAAAGCGGAGCTCCACTCTGCGGGCCGGGTCCCACAGCCGAATGCGCCACACGCAGCGGGCGTTGTCGGGGTAGGAGTTGGGGTAGCCCGGGCTCTGGATGGAGCCCCACAGATCCTGCAGTAAGCCACCACAGGAGCCTGTCCCTGCAGAGAGGAGCAGAGCCCGGGCACGGGCAGAGACCTCTTGGCATCCCATCGCCTGGAGCCGTCAGAGGAAGGCCCCACCAAGGAGGCTCTGCCACAGCCCCACACAGACCCTCCCTCCTGGGCACGTGGCACCACTCCAAAGCATCATCCTTGTGCTCCCCCCTACCCAGAGCACGGTTTGTGCTCGGCCTGTGCAGTAACCCCAGTCTGTGGGGTTGGCCATCCAGCAGGACACCTGGGGCAGGAGATAACCAGACCCCTTATAACCCCTCTGGACCTAAATGTGGTCAATGACACTGGGGGAGATGGAACTGGAACTATGGGGTGCTGCAGGGAGAACTCAGCAGGTGAGTGAGCAGCATTTTGTCCAAGAGGAAAACCCAGCTGGCAGTCAGCCCTGTCCAAAAGCCAGGCTCCTTCCAGTGCTGCCTAGAGAGGGGACAAGAGCTCATGGCACAAAGTGAAGCACAGAAGGTTCCATGTGACTATAAGGAAACACTTTTCCACTGGGAGGGTGACTGAGCACAGGCACAGGTTGCCCACGGAGGTGGTGGACTCTCCACCCTAGGAGGTAGCCAAAAGCCACCTGATCATGGCCTTGAGCAGTCAGCTCAAGGCAACCCTGCTTTAGCCAGGGCTTAGGACCCCATTACTCCAGAAGTCCCTTCCAACCTCAACCATCTTCTAATTCTGTGATCCATAACTGAAGGCAGAAGCTAGTCAGACCCCATAGCCCCTCTGGACATACCTGTGGTCCATGGCATGGGGGTTGTCATGCTGTAGGTAGCTCTCACTGCAGGGAGAGAGCAGCAATTGAGAGCGCAGTGCTTTGCATAAGAGGATCACCCAGCTGGGACACCCCCCTATCCAAGGGGGACCCCGGGACAGTGAAACCCGAAAACCACAGTGGGCACTGTAATGAGGCAGGACCAAGCAGCTGCAGTGTCAACTGCCCCAGCACCTGCTCAGGGGCATCCCCACTGTGGCACCAGGTGCAAAACCTCTCCCCCCGAAGAAGAAGCTGCTCAGTCACAAAGGATCCCAAGCAATCCCACATCATCCTGAGCATCAGGGATGTTACCCAGGGTCTGTAAGTGCAGCCCACATTTGGGTCTTCTGCTCTGATGAACACAGAGCATCCCAGAGGCAGAACACCCCATGGAAAAATAGTACATAAATAGAAATCTCTAGTTACCTGCTGGTAGAGGCTCTGTTAGTCCTGAGTCTGCAAAGAGAGAAAACCAGAGGGTGTGAGGCACATACTATAATCTCATGGAGAGGTATGAAGGGATCCATGGGGAGGATGGCCTGGCTAAAAACCATCACCCTCCTCACTCTGCACAGGAGCAGCCTCCTAAATCCACATTTAGTCTCCTAAATCCCAGGCATCCTAAGCACAATCTGCAAGTGCAGGAAGGGTGCTCCCTCTGAAACACAGGCCCCTGCATCAGGGACGTGGACCTATGACCCGCTGCTGCCCTGCAGAGCACAGAGCAAGGGTTGGACAGGCTTCACCCAGCCTCACACAAACACCAGGTGGGGTTTCTTCAGGAAACTGCCCCCAAAACACAAAAACCCACCTGAGCATATGACAGAAGCATCTCCATGATGACAGACATAGTACTGGTAGTTGTAGGGGCACTGCCACAAATAGTCTTCATACCCTGCACAATTCACCTCCGTGATCAAGTATGGGTACGAGTCGCTCGAAGGGAAATCACTCATCACTCCAAGGGGCGATCCGCAGCCAAGCTGCCTGCACACAACCTCAGCATCTTCCATGTTCCACAGGTATCCACACACCTTCTCCCAGTTTCCGAAGAACTGGATTTCCACGTTGCCTGCGCAGCGGTTCGGCCCACCGCTGAGCCTCAGCCTCTGCCACAGCTCTTGGAGAGACACAAACCCCTGCGTCAGGCCAGCAGTGCTCTGGGCTCAGGCAGTGACATTGCACAGGAGAGCACAGGCTCCCACATCCTCTCCGGGCACCCATCTGCACCCACAGCACAGCTCAGGGCTGGCAGCCTCTGCTTGGTCTCCCATGCTGAGGGACAGACAGGCTGGGCCAGCAGCAGGTCCCATCCCCGTGCCCAGGGCCACCAGAAGGGCCTTGGCAGACACACTCACCATCAGCTGGAACTGTGGAGGAGAACAAGCAGGGAAAAAAACACAAAGAGAGCAAATGAATTAGGATGAATTATCTGGGAGCTGTCAGTGCTCTCTACCCTTTCCCCAGTGAGTCAAGTCCCCAGTGAAGGGCACAACTGATAGATCTTTTTATTTCTAACAAGGAGGTTGGTTGCTGGAGGGTAGAGCCACCCCTGAGTTCCTGGCTCCCAGATAATTTACTTCTTGCATACATCCCTGGCCCCACCCTAGGGCAAGCAGGAGCTTTTTCATCATAATAATTTGTTCTCAAGAATAAATACGATGATGAAAACATAAAGCTATCACTATCATATGAAGTAATAATCTGGTAAATTACTTACAAGTCATGAAGTCAAGTGTTGTTGGGGGATGTAGTGCTTCTTCTAGAGAAGGAAAAAACATAGATGATACCATATGTGAAGGCCAAAAAGGCAAATATGATATGAAACTTCCTCAAACCCTGTTTCAGTCTCCAGGAATTAGTGGCCAACAAATTTTAGATCTAAGAGATTTCTTTTTATTTTAGTAAATCACAGTAGTTTTTCCTTTCATTAACCATCAAATCTCTTTGTGAACCCACCAAAAACCTGCAACTGGCCCGGAGAGTGCCAAGTGCCCTTGAAGTCAGACCAGTTTTCTCAGGGTACCCAGCCCCCCGAGCTGGAAGACAGGGGTGGGGAGCAGAATGAAGCCCCCAAAATCCAAAGGGAAATTGTCAGGGACACCCACAAATCTATGGGGGTGGATGGAATCCACCCAAGGGAGATGCAGGGGCTCAGCCTAGAGAAGAGAAGCCTCAAGATGGGGACCTTATTTCTCTCTACAACTACCTGGCAGGAGATTGTAGCCAGGTGGGGGTCAGTCCCTTCTCTGAAGTAACAAGTGATAGGACAAGAGGCAATAGCCTCAAGTTGGGCCAGGGGATGTTTAGATTGGAGATTAGGGGAAATTTAATCATGGAAAAGGTTGTCAAGCCCTGGAACAGGATGCCCAGGGCAGGGTTGGGGTCACTATTCCTGAAGGGATTTAAAAGACATGTAAAAGACATGTATAGGTGTAAATGTGTGGGCCATGGCTTAGTGGTGGGCTTAGCAGTGCTGGGTTAATGGCTGGACTCGATGATCCAAGAGGTCCTTTAAAACTTAAACAATTCTCTGATTCTCTCTGCTGATTTCACCAGATCTGATCAGAAGCTGATGGTTCTGCTACTGGCATGAGAATAGGCTGTGAACAACTGCCTCTCCCTCCCTTTCTCCAAACCAAAGAGGGACAAAAATCCTGACAGAAATGAAGGTGACACAAAATATCCGGGGAGATGGTCAGAGCGAGGCCAGTGACAAGGGAGGCTGCACATCCAAAAGCTCCCTGTCACGGGTTCTGCTCACGTTCCCACTACATCTAAGCTTCTCTCATTCCCTTCCGCTCCCAACAGCACTGATTTCATCAATACCGTGCTGTTGACTGCCGCTGGAGTCAGTAACTCGGTCAAAGAAGGGTTTTCCTTGCTAAGGCTTCTGTACAGCTGATGGAAAGCCTCCAGGTGGCACTAAGAGATCGAGGGCGTCCCTTAGGACAGGGCTCTGACACCCGGGGAAAGGTGATCTCCTTCCTAGTGCTTCTGTGATCAGGTGACAGCACCAAACATCTCAAAATTGATAAACATAATCCAAATTAATAAGGGCATTTCATGTGAGTGCTGTTCTGTCTCCGTAAAGGTCATTGGAAAATGGTCTACAAACCTATATTCAGTCAAAATTTATCTGTGCAAACTGTGGATAACTTTGCTCTGGGCTTTCAGATACTCAGAAACTGCTGCATTTATACAGGCTTTGTTTTTAACATGGTATTGTGATCCCAAGGTTTTAGCCCAAGGACTGACTTAATTAAGCTTTTCATTGCAGTGATGGTTCTCATTCCTTCTCTGAGAAGAGGGACACACATTCACTTATATGCTGCATTTTAAGTGCATGTATGTACTACCCTATAGATTCTGTATGGGTGCATTCAGACGTGGGAGCCCAGTCTGAAGGATGCTGAGCCCCTGACTAAGCTGGTGGGTTGGCTACCTCGGCTACAACTAAACTAGAAGAATCCTCAGATGCAAGCATCAGCCTGGAGAGAATATTTAGCAATGCCAATTCTATAAAAAAGTGTGCATTTTTATATAACTTTAAAATTACCTGTTGTTAGAGGCCTTTCTGGTTCAGCATCTCCTGTTGTCCAAGCTGCAGACAGTGTCAACACAAACAACAACAACAACAACAAAAATATTGAAGAACATTACATTAATTAAATAATGAGGATGGGAAGTTTGCACGCACAGGATCCCTGGTGGCATTGGCAAAGGGATGTCAGATGTTTTTCAAGGGAGTGGGTTAGGTGGTGATAAAAATCCTTCTCTTTGGACAACCTGATAGGTGGGAATACACCCTCACTGATTAATATCATGTATCATAAAACTAATTGTCTCTCAAACTCACAGTTTATTTATTTAAAGTGATTTCTGGATGCAGAAGATCCTAACAGGGACATGTGTAATGTTTTCAGTTATTAGGGTACTTTACAATGCATCCCACCACACTGCTCCTCATGCATGCAAGGCTTTAAACCTGAATTAATTAGATGGTAATGAAAGGATTAAACAGTAACTCAGTATTTTCCAGCTGAACATCAACATCCCAGCTTAGTTTTCAGCATTACTAATTGCACCTCAAATATTTTTGGAGGGAGTAAATAACAAGGGCATTAAAAACCTGAGGAAATAGCCCTGAAAGGTTATTTCTTTCCACCGTGTACATGGGAGCACAGAAAGGGAAAGCAGGTTTTTGCTTTTGGTTCATTAGTCCAAGCCAAGTTCACTCCAGAATTTTACACCTGGAAGAGGAAGGGATGGAAAGACAGCAGCTGTGCCAACACCTTTGATCTTTTTCCATCCTACTCTCCTGCATAAAGAATGCAACAGCAGCAGCTTAAGGCACTCTGCTCAGCCAGGAAAGCCTCACCTGAAAAATGGGAAAGTGTTTTTGAACACAGAAAGACTATTTTACCCTGTTGGAAGCATCCTCCCTACCATCAGACCCCCCAATGCCTCTGCAAGCAAATCAAATCACACTTGTAAGAGGAATTAGCCTGTGGGAAATTAGAATTAAAAAAAAAAATTACAGTAATTCCTATTATATTCTAGTAACTACAATAATGATAGGATAGAGGTGTGCCATACTTGTTTTATCTGGGGCACTCTGTTATTAAACACCAATGTATTGGTTGTACCAATGTACCTAATCAAGTACAAATTCCGTGGTTCAAAGTGCACCTCTTTAAAATAAACATATCTTTAGTCCAGAAAATACTTATTAGTCTTTAAATCCATTACCCCAGTATAAAGAATTGGAAATTTATATCTTTGGCTTTACAGTATATTCATTTGATTTGATTTGATTTTACTGGGCTCTTTACAAAAATGGTGAGAAAAAAATTAAATTCATTAAGCAGTTTCAATAAAATTGATTTGCTCAGTTCATAGCTTTGACCTGCTCATGGTTTTTGAAAGAACTAAGCTGTGCTAGTAAATCCTCTTTTACCCTTAAATCTCAGCATTATCCTCAGGTGAAATATAGCCACGGAGGTGATCAGAATTGAGACTTGTTACCTGCATCCAGCTGAATTTGAAGGCTTATCATCACCACCCAAGACAAGATCATGGTGGCAGCCATCTCCTCGGAGCTCCTGGTACAGGAGGGCACCAGAATTTATAGGCAGGGACTACACTAAAGGGTGTAGCTCAGCAACCCAATCTCTCGCTTCAGTAGGTCAACATCACGTTCTCCACTGCTCTCACTTCCCTAACTTCCATGGCCGTATGTTTGATTTGTTAACCAGGATTTAACCAGCTTCCTGGTTCTGCAAGAAGACATCTGATTCAGGGGCAGCAGAGATCAAAAGTGGTTGCAGTAGCTGGTGTTTTTCCCTCCCATCCCTCTTTGGCTGTGAAGTTCACTTGTGGTCAGTTATGTAACACATCCCTTTCTTGCTCTTAGGTTTGAGCTGAATCTGAGCCAAAGCTGCTTTTTAAGACGGTGTAGAAGGGCTTTCCTTTTTGGGACTGCACATGTGGGAGGGTAAGACCATGGTGGGAAACAATCGAGGGGCTTATAGAGACCCTTCGTACTGACCTAGCCTCTGGTACAGCCACCTGCTGCTGGGAGGGCATCAGACAGAGACAACCATCATGTCTCCAGTCCCTTAACGTTGTTGTCAAGGTGCAGTTTCAGGGACTGAGTCAAATCATTAAGGTTGGACAAGGCCTCCAAGATCATTGAGTCCAACTGTCAACACCGACACCGTAACCCCCAAGTGCCACACCGACCTGACTTTTGAACACTTCCAGGGATGGTGATTCCACCAGTTCTCTGGGCATCCTGTTCCAATGCTTGACAACCCTTTTGTGAAGGAATTTTTCCTATTATCCAACCTTAACATCCCCTGGCACAATCTCAGACCATTCCCTCTCGTCCTTTTATCACACCTAACTTACCATCATGAATTTCTCAAATATTAGTTACTTACCAACTTTCTAGAGGTAGAAGAATTTGGAACTATAATGTAGAGTTGCCTTGAATTCCCCCCCATATGCATTTATGTATATTTCTGTCCTAACAGATGTCACAAAAACATGCAGTAAAAGTGAGTATCCTCATCTTTTTCTGACCTCCCCCTGTTCATCCTTCAGTGTGCTCTGAAGGATCATCACCAGGGCAGCAAGACTCAGTATGTTTAAGCTCTGCAAGCTGTGTACAGCAAATCTGAAAACCCCAAAGTAACATTTTGACTTTTGTTTCAAATTCAAGCCAAAATTCAGTGGTCATGCACTGCTCATTGTTAAACAGTACAATGCTTCCTGGAGAACAAGGAGTATAAGTCCGGGGATAAGGGCAAGTATAGAAAAATAAAGGAAAAATCATCCCAAATTCTCTCTTTCTGAAGCCCTTAATAGCTTTCCAGATCCCTTGACACAGTCCTCCCACTGGGATTTACCACATATTTAAGGTAACAGTTAAATAATGGCATCCAAAGGAACTCTACAGTGGATTATTACAAAGAGAAATTATCATGGTTGGGTTTTGGTGGATCCAAGTGCCCATCAAAGAACCTACATTTGCACAGCACTGCTGAATTTGGCAGTGCTTTAACAGTATAGAAAACTACAGAATCACAGAAATATTTAGCCTGGAAGGGACCTCCAGAGGCTGTCTGGTCCAACCCCTGGTTCAAAGTAGAATTATCTTCAATCAGTCAATCAAACAACCTTCAAAGTGTCTCAGGGCCTTAGTTACTTCTGTAACACAGAATTCTGCATTTTTCTTTTATAGAAAAAGGGTGCAAAAACTTCTAGACGATAAAAATTTGACATGATGGTTGTTCCTATTCTTATTTTTGGATGAGTTTGGATTTATTACTGATTGGTAAACATAATACTTCTCAGAAACCCAGAAACAGGTTTCTTGTGCCTCATGAAAAATGCAATACAACTGTCTTGGACAGCCAGCACCCAAGCTCGACCTCACACAGCAGAGGAGACCCAAAAGAAGATCAAAAGGAGAAAGGGAGCACAAACTCCATTGTGAGAAGGGAGAAAAAATGAAAGTATTAGTTTGTTAGACATGCAAACAGTTCATTGACTTTGTAAACATGGGTAGACTTTTCTTCTCATGGTTTTGCAAGGCAGAGGGAGGAAGTGGTCATTCAGAGGGACTGAAGGAAGTAAGGGATGTGGCTTGGTAAACAAATTGGGGCAGCTGTTGAGAGATGAAAGAAAAGCAAAACCAGATTAAAAACACTGAAAACTCAACAAAAACTGTTAATATTTGAATGTAAAAAGAGAAGATGTGAGGCAACTCCAAACAGAAAGGCTGAGTCAAGCTCAGGATGGCTGGTCCACACAGACCCCAATGGTAAGGATCACTGCATGGCCATCCCGCTCCAGGACTGGCATTCTCTGCATGGAGCCCAGCATTCCAGTTCCTCTGTCCCTGGATAAAAAGAAAGTGTGGTGGATTGACCTTGCCCCTCTCTCATTCCTCCTCCTCAACAGGGTGCAGGAGGAGAAAATAAGGTGAAAAAGGTGGGTTGAGAAAAGGACAGGGGAATCACTGTCACACGGAAAAGAGAATCAACTTGCAGAAATATAATTTCATTGCCAATTAAAATAGAATTTGATAGCAAGAAACACTGACAACTTAAATAACACCTCCCCTACTGTTTGCCCAGGCTCAGCTTCACTTCTTCATTCCACTCCTGTACCTCCCCACTCCCTGAGTGGCACAGGGGGACTAAGAGGAATGGGACACTGTGGTCAGTCCACAGCAGTTTGTCACTGATGCTCTGATCTCCTCACTCTTTTCCCATGCTCCATTGTGGGGCCTTCCCACAGGCTGCAGTCCTTCAGGATAATCCAAAATGAGCTCCCAATGGCCACAGCTCCTTCAGGAAATGTCATCTTGCTCCAGCACAGGGCCCTTCATGGTGTGTGGGGTCACCTCTGGTCTGGCACATGGAACACCTCCTCCTCCTCCATCATCTCTAACCTTCTGTTCACAGGGCTGTTCCTCACATGTTTTCACCCCTGAATCTTCCTTCCTTGAGTGGCATTTTGTACATTCTTCAGTATATTTTCCCAGAGGCACCACCCTGAGGTGGGACTGTTGCAGGGCTGGCTGGAACACCCCAAAGCACCAGAGACTCTGGGTCAGTGATCAAGACACCAGTTGGCACACGTTGAAATGACCCATTTGAAGCAGTCACTACATGGTCCCTGATACTACAGGAGAAAACTGAAGAGCCAGTGGCAAAATAGTACAGTGCTGTGGACCTGGTTTTTGCACAAAAAGATGTTTCTTCCCACCAGATAGGATGGCTGATGGAGTGAGGGATTTTGTTGACTCTTTACTCATTTCACCAGAGCTGGAACTGGATGAAGACGTGTGCAAACACCAGTTTTAGTTTGGATCCATCATTGCTTTAAAAGTCAACTGTGCAATGAAATGCTTGTCCTTTGGGTGGGAGAAAGGACGCAAGGTGTTCACATTTTTTTATTAATTAACATTCAGTTCTCACTAACGCCTTTAAATCTAACTGATAGCATAATTTCTAGCACAGCATCAATGATGTTTCCCTGTCATTGGACACATCAAGGGCCACAAAGCAGGTACCAATCACTCACCCCAAGCTGAGACAGCCTCCATGGCACACCCCTTCGCTGGTCCATAACCTCTCTCCCCATTTTTCAGTTTCCTTGCACCTCTGTCCCAAGCTTTGTTTGCACAAGTGTTACCAAAGCAAATTGTAAGGCAGGAATGGTTTCACTGCATAAGGAAATCAAGATTTATGATTAAACTATGTTTGCTTGGATCAGTGAAGATTAAATGATTTAGTCAGACATTGGAAATAGCCATGCTACTGTCCATGGGAATACCAGCTTCCCTCCTCATAGAGGTCTCCTGCCATCCCTCTGCTGCACTTGCTTCCAGTAACAGCTATTTCTCTCTGGCCATTAAGTTACAAATGTGTTCCTTAAGCACAGTGGTGCACCTGGCAACATGTGAACAAGAGAAAACAGTGTCAAACTGACTTTTCCTGTAGAAGACTTGCTGGTACTCCTCAGTCCCTGGCCTCTCTGGCTGCTTTGCTCACCCTTCCTCTAAAGATTCCTCCACATCCTCAACAGATTCCCTCAGCACCACTGCAAGCTTTTCTTCAGTCCACCCACTGTCTCCCTTGTTCTACAGCTGTGGGTGTGTTCACTAGGGATGCCTGAGAGCCCCATGCACTGCTGGAACAGAACCAATAAAAGATGTTACTTGATTACAGTGTCCCAACAACAGAGAAGCTGTGGGCAACCACGTAGACACTGCAGTCCCCACCACATGGCTACAGGGGTGTCTTCTCTTTTCATTCCTCTTATACACCCTCTTTTTCTTGACCTGCAGTTTCTTTCCCAGCCCTCTCCTCTCTGTTCTATTCTCTCTCTTCTCCAGCAGGCATGACACTCAGATCCACGCTGGCAGCTCACAGGAGGTTTCCATGCAGGAGAGCAGAGAGTGTTTGTCCAAGACCTGTGCCTGGTGTGTTACGGGTGAGAGCATCCAGGTAAGCAGGTGGGGACAGCTCTTCGTGAGAGCCAAGAGCTCTACAAGGAAATAGTCTTATTGATCTTATGATACTTAGGATCTATGACATTCCTGAACAGTAACAGTGCTCCAGCCAGAAAAATGGGGAGAAAAAAGGCTCAACACAAATTCAGGTTGAATTCAGCAAACAGTTTCATTTGAGCAAAATGCTAAACGGTGAAAAATTTTTGTTCTGTAGGTGTCATAACAAAATATTTCAAATACAGTTTTTGGACACTCTTTAAAGCTTGAAGAACCTGAGAACCTAACAAAACAGTTCCATTGGGGTAAGATTGCAGTTGAAAAATTAGTTATTCACCACCCCTGCTATTATTGAAAGGTTTTTGCATGCCTGGAATAGACATCGTACTGTTGAGGAAAAGAGGGAACTTGGATTATCTAGGAAAGGTGCTAGGCAGATGGTGATGAAAGACGTGGAACTTGTGCCTAGTCTCATTTTGTACTGCTCCTCATCTGCTTGGTTGCACCTCCTCTACTTCCAGCTCCCCTCCCTCTCCCAGACCACCACTGACTCCAACCCATCCCAAC